TGGAGCCGTCAGAGAAGGTGCGAACCGATGCATCGGTGCCGCCAACAGAACCCAATTTGCAGAGACCTACTAATGCTCTCACTTTAATCCTATCGTTAGATGATTTGTATAGATTCTTGAGTATCGGAGCGCCCATTGAGGCCAAACTCTTGCACTTGTCTTTCTTAGAAGCGGCCGCAATGATGGCCTCCGCGGCCACACATTGTTGGACCACATCATCAGAACCGGCCATAACTAACATCATTTCCATGATTCCCGGCCGAGACAGACAATTGTTGCCGATATCCAGCGGTCCCATCAATAAAGCGGTGATAGTAGCCGTTGCGCGCACTTTGTCCTCAATGTCCATACCTTTGAGTTTTGCGTCAATAAATTCCATCACTTTCTCCCGATAGCCATCTCTGGCAGAATCGCTGTCACAACACAACAAAATCCGGTCTAAGAGAAGCGATACGTGAGTCCTAGTGTTGGCCGTTATATTCATTCCGCTCTCGTATTTCACTTCTTCCAGTTCTGACGATATCTCCAGAAGATTCCAGAGTCCGTCCATTTTGACCAGTTTTTGGCCCCAATCGAGAGCTGTGTAGTCGACGTTCGTTATCAACAGCTCGAGGATAGCGTCACGACTCTTGGCGGACATCATTCGCAGTGTAGAGCTCTTCACCAGTGAAGACATGATTGAATCGATTGCCGTTTCGTTTGCTTTTAGTAACTCTTTGTCCGGTTTTCTCTCTTCTTTGGCACAAAAGCCACTCAACGATTCCAGTAATGTCTGAATATTATATTGAATGGCAGTTATATTCTTCTCGTCAAACGATTCGCTCAACATTTGTATTAAGAACTTAATATCCATTACTTTCAACACTTCTAGAGTACTATCAACTGAACTGTTGGACAATTCCGACAAAATCCTAATCAATGATATCTTGAGCTCGGGTTCACATTTAGACCGCAACACCTTTGACAGCACTTCCATACCATTGGCCTCAATGAACATCTTCTTCGCGGGCTTTTCTCTCACCAAAACCATCAGATTATTGGCCGATTGGATGCGTTTAGACGACTCCAGACTCTCGTCCGACAAATAGCCATACATTTGTCAGTCTGCACTTCTTCACGAACTTAAAACAAATCGCTACAGAACTTCAAACTGTAATTCAAAAGACTCGTGACTAACTTACATTCATAACAAACCGAGGTTCACAACTTGTCACTCTCGCAGAAACTAGGCCTGCGACATAGAGACCTCGCGAAGGTCGCGACTTGTGGAGGAGTAGTCACAGAAGTGCAGAACGCCTGTATTAACCTACCGAAAACAGCGCATTAGCTACCATAACAGCATCAGAAGCTCGAAGTCTATAGCCAAACTCAGGTTCTTATAGAGATTGAGACGATTTGTTTGGTTTGTCTTATTATTAACGCCATTATTGTTCACTAAATCTAATGCTTTTAAGTACTCATGAGTTGCCGCCAAATGATCGCCGCTTTTCACCAAATCATTGCCCGACTCTTTCAGTGACAACACTTCGGACGACAACTCCTTGTCATCCAATGGTTGGCTCATCTCTTGTGATGTCATTTCAATCATTCAATCAATTAATAGTGAATTCAATCATAAATTGATTGCAAGAAATGGTATTCAAAAACGAGTCACACATTCAATGCATTCACTCAAAATTGCGTAAAGAGTAGGTAAATACCGTAAACATAACTTAAAGTGCGAAATAAGACCTTTTGAGTGCATTTTTGACAAATAGATATCAGTTGTGATGTATGTCTTATGTAGTAAAGTTACGTAATCTCACTAGTATTATGTTGTGTTGACTATATGTTCAAGAATCGTAATCACATTGTATTGCATAACAGTATTGATCAATAGATGGCATAGTATTAGGCTTTGAATGCATTGAAAATGTATTGTTAAGTGAAAATGCAGTGCATTTGCAAAACGCCTTGTATTTCATCGCCTATTGAATTGTTAAACAATTCATTGAACTCTCAAACTATAGGCAAAACTCTCTTAACAATTAATTCAGTCCTAAATATTAGACTTAAATAGCAATGAATAGTTTGATTGCTCTTTCGTCGCCGATTAGGGCATAATTTGTGAAATAATTTTTATTGATTTATTACATAAGAAATAAATGCAAAGACAATGAGACTATAGATCCGCAAACCATAGCAACACATTAGGAATTGAAAACAAAAACTTCTGGTTTTAATTCTGATGACGATTTTGTATATATTTAAGTGTCGATTGCGTTGATTGAGATAACAAACGATTATGTCCTCAGAAATTGACCCAAAAATAGTGAAAACAAGTTTGGATTTGTTGACCAAAATTGTGAAAAAGCCGGTAATCACTGACAAACTATTGAAAAGACCTCCCTTTAGATTCCTCCACGACTTGATTACAAGTGTAAGACTTCAATGAATTCTGTATATTCTGCATGAAATTGTTTTTACAAATAATTTTTAATATACAATTTTTCTCATATAATATAAAGATCATAAAAAGTCATGGATTTTTCAAAGATCTCTATAAAGACAATGAATTGGTTGCCGAGAATGTGAAGGAAAAGGAGTCAAAGATAGTATTCCTACAGAAAGCGATCGACACAACCGGTTATTAACGCATATTATTATCATTACTAACTTATCATTATGTTTATTATATTATTACCACATTAGACTATATCGCACTCTAACTTAAATGAGTTTATTCTGTAAAATATGCCTTAAATAGTAATTTATTTTTAAATTGTTTTTTAATTTTGATTCACGTTTTTGAGGAACACATAAACGAAGAATTTGTTTATGAATTGCAAATTTTCTTTAATAATTAAAGGCAACAATAATTTCACTTTACAGTAGATTTTGTACTAATGTTTCGCTAAAAATGCAAATTTTAGATTAAGTTAAAAATTTAATTTGTTATTCAAATTAGGGTTTATTATTGGAGATGTGTTGAGTGCAAAGCCGTCCAAAATTGTCGCCGGACTCGAAGCCGACAAAACCAATGAATGGCTTCAAGCGATGGCCAAAGCGGTGATCGCAAAGAAGGACTCTTCAGATGCTGTCCAACGAGTCCTGAATGGAGAAAAGCCGACCAAACGGGACAATACACTCGTGAGTAATAATAATAATAATAATAATAGTAATAATAGCAAAAAGAAAGCATTGAATACAAACACAAAGACTCCAAACAATACAAACAAGAAAACAAAAAAAGAGAGCAAAGAATCAAAAGAAATCAAAACTGAGGCAAAAAATGCAATAAAAGAGTCAAATGAGGCAAAAGAGAAGACATCGCCTCAGATGTCGGCTAACAAAGCGAAACACAATTCTGGCAAACAATCGACACAAGAATTGACTGCAAGTGTTGCGAACGGAAATACGCCAATACCTGCCCCACACTTAGCCTACGCTCCCATCACTGATAATAGAGATAATGACTCTAATGATGGAAATGTGCACAAAGAGAGGGATGAAAGCAGTAATGACAAGACAAACAATGAAGATATTGCGGCCCAAAACCCACCAATAGATCCTCTTAGCGCTGTTAGGGCTACGATTGAAACCAAATCTGTTTTGTCTTCACATCCGAGACACAGATCAGGTAATTGTAGACATATTTCATATGTTTCTAATGCAATGTCACTCAATCACAACCGGTGTTTAAACTCAAAAAAATGTAATCAATTGTTTTCAATATCTTTCAAAAAGACTATTATTTAAAGGATTTTGACTTTAGTTTAGAGTTTAAACGAAAGTCATGTTAAGGAATGCATTTATGAGTAAATATTAAACAAGTAAATCATTTTTTGGAAAATATATTTTTAGACACAGAGATGAGAAGAAGTGGAGTCCGTCCGCCAACGCGTCACGAGAGGACCGCTCGACCGAGTAGTTCACGACCGGCTCCTCCCAGAGTCATACCAAAAGTGAGTGAAGACAATGCGATCGTTGAGGCAGAACTCGAGGAGAAGTTGCGTTTACTGAACGCAAAACCAGTCGAGAACTTAATCACTGAAAACTTTGCTAATGATGAGGACCAGGAGTTTGTCGTCTCCAATGCGATCACTGATGAACAGACCGAACCAAATGGACAGTTAGATATCGACAACAATAATGATACACAAAAAGGGAGTTTAGTTAAGCAATTGGTTGAGACCAAGAAAGAGCTCGAAGGCAAGCAATCGTCGGATGTGCTAAACAATGATAAAAAGGTATCCAAACAAACGAATCGAGATATTGAGAAATTGCGTCAAACTATACAAGCTTTGAGCCAAACGGCCAGTCCTTTGGGTAAAGTGTTAGACTATCTCCAGGAAGACATCGATTCAATGCTCTCAGAGCTGAAGACATGGCAGGAAGAGTACAAAAGTAATGTTCAGTCACTGCATAAGTCACGAAACACTACTTTGGAAGCACTGGAACCGTATAAACAAGAACTCAATCAATTAGATGTCGATATTGTTGAACAAATGGATAAAATAAGTCTAACAAAAGCCAATATCATTAGAAATGAGGATAAGTTACAAAAAATGGTTTTAATGGTTAATAGGATTTGATTATTTGATTAATTATATCCATTAAAACTTTTAATTACTTTATTATATTATTATTGTTTGTTTTTCTATTTTTATTTTTTTATGACTTAACGGTTAAATTAATACACATTTTCCATAAAAATGATACTTTATTTTGAAAATAAAAATTTTAATTTAAAAATCGATTCTATTTTTAAATGAATTAAAAGGCAAAACACAGTCAATAAATTGACACAGTTAAGTAAACTCTGTGTTTTAAGAAAACCGCTAATTTAACTTTTAAATCGAGTAAAAAATACTTGTTACTTCTTCTTTTTACGATATAATAGCATCTTTTATCGACACTTGAGCAAAAATGGATATTATTTTGATATTATCGTAGTTTGGCTTTCAATTTGATGTTTGGTATTAAAAATTAATGTATTTTCAGTACTTTCGCACATTTTTATTAAAAACTCTTGTTTTTATTCTTTCTATTTTAATGATTAGTTCTTATTATATCTTATTTTTTATAGTTATTTAGAAGTTATATTAATTAAAATGAATTCAATGACTGGTTACCTAATAGTCGGCAAAAGCAAAATTATTTAATTATTGTTGAACACAGTGTTAATTATATGTCAAATGTTTGGCTTTATTTTAAAATGAAATAAACAAAACGCTAACAAAATTCACTGATTTAGTAGTTCTTTGTTTATAAATGATAAAAATTAATTGTCACACAAAGAGAAGGTATAGAAAAGGTTTTAATCATTTCTATCATATTATTTATTGCCAATTAAATAATAATAATGTATAAAAAAACGTACTACTAAAACCAAAAGAGTTTGAACTAAAACTAAACTTATTAATATTAAATCATGTAAAAGAAATGTTGTCAATGATAAATACCGTATAGAAAATATTATTAATATATTTATGTTTTATAACTAATAATTACTTTAAAAATTTAAAAATAAGGGGAGAGAGAGAGAGAGAGAGAATTTAGTACATTTTCTTTACAACAGTTACTATTTATGGCATATCTTTTATAATAATTATATAAATACAAAATAAACAAATAATTACTTTAAAAATTTAAAAATAAGGGGAGAGAGAGAGAGAGAGAGAGGGTTGAATTGTTTTATTGAATAAAATATAATGTAGACTTCAATTTATTTACACCGTTATTTAAATTCATTGGTAATTCAATTTTCTTTATAACGTTAATATTAATTGAAAATTCATTTTAAATACAAAACTCATTGAATTAATTAATATTTCTTTTAAAAATGAGAAAATAAAAACAATATAATGTTATATAAAAATGATTTATCTGAAGATTATTCATTATTTTCGCATTAAAACTAATAAAAATATTATGTATTAAAGCTTGTATTTAACATGAAAACTGGTGAAATAATGTGGGACATTTAGTTTGCACTGAATTTATTTGTACTCAATTGCCTTTAATTATGAACACAATTATCATTTTTCATATTAATTTCTATGATATTATTTACAATTGTTTTCATATAAAACAACAATTTTTTTGGAAGTTAAGGAAAAATATAGAGAAATTGAATGTTTTGTTTTGTTTTAAATATAAATTTGATTGTCATTTATTATTTGAAGAATTAAATGATAAAATATAATCATATTATAATTAAAATCATATCTAAGGGCATAAAAACATTGTGGCATTAATTTCCCGATTAATTTCCCAATTCAGGTGAATTTTAATACTTATAATAAACACAATATTTGTTTAAAAACATTGCCTGACGTTAAACATTCTCTCTCTCTCTCTCTCTCCCCTTATTTTTAAATTTTTAAAGTAATTATTTGTTTATTTTGTATTTATATAATTATTATAAAAGATATGCCATAAATAGTAACTGTTGTAAAGAAAATGTACTAAAAAAGAAATATTAATTAATTCAATGAGTTTTGTATTTAAAATGAATTTTCAATTAATATTAACGTTATAAAGAAAATTGAATTACCAATGAATTTAAATAACGGTGTAAATAAATTGAAGTCTACATTAGATTTTATTCAATGAAACAATTCAACCCTCTCTCTCTCTCTCTCTCTCTCTCTCTCTCTCTCTCTCCAATCGTATTAAAAATCATACTAAAGAAGAAAAATTAGAAACATTTTTGTATTTGTTTTCTGCGTTATTATAGTTATAGTAATTAATAAATTATTTCAAATGCAATAAATATATTTAATGTGTATTTAATGTCTAATATGCGGTCATTTAACGATCCAAATGTTAGATTCTGTTACATATATTTAGTATGAAGTTTACGCCTAAGGATTAGACTGTTTTATCAGATTTATAGTTATTTTAAGAATAATTCATTTTTCTTAACCATTGTTTTGTGAAATGTTTTACGCCATACAAAAACCCCTCTCTCATCGTGTGATTATCTAAACCCAAATATTTATCCTAATCTGACATATATTATCACAATTGCATTAAATGTTTCATTAGTTTTAAACGAGAGATAATGTCTGAGAAATGGCAACAAAACCAACGCTGAAAATAATGTGCCGATGAATACAATGCAATGGCAAACACACACATCACTCGTGAGTAGTGTTATGTAGTTCTGTGTGTGAAGTCTGTATTGAAAACTCAAACAACCACTAGATATCAAGTATTGGTTTTCACGTCAAATTCACTTCAATTCAATTATACAGTACTTGTAAAATGCAGTTAACAGTAGAAACAATCTTTAACTTCATGTCATTTCTTGATTAAGAATTAATATTTTTAATAAAATTTTTCGATTAATTTTGACCTATTTTTTCCAAAGTTATTATTATTTATTTTTTTCTGACAATATTGTGATGAAACCTAAATATAAGGAACTGATCTCATTTCAGGAGATCGAAGACAAACAATACATTAAAGTAATAAGACTTTACTTATTGTAAAACTATAACAAATAAGTCACAAACAAATTGTATTATTATTTAAGTTACAAATAACCAGAAGTGAGGAAAGACTTGTAAGACTTACATAATATAGAATTTTAAAACTCTATTCAATACATATATTTTTAAAACTTAAATGTATTAATAGAATAGCATTAATATGTTTAATAAATACATTTAATAAATAAAACAAAATAATTTTCTTATATCTTGCAAACCAAGGCTTTAGTCAAAATAATCGTCGACTGGAAAAAAACATTTGCATAAAATGTTAATTAACTTTTAGAATACATTATGCGATAAATATTAATGAAATTAAAAGAAAAATGTTTTTGAAATGAGTTTATTTTAAAAGATAAATAATACCTTTAAAATCCCATCCAATCTCTTCACCCACTAATTGTTGGTCCAGAAAATCTTGCAGTGGTTTGAAATAATCGAGTAGTGGTTTGACATCCATTTCTTGACTACCTGTCAGTCTTTCCAATTGTTTAGTCCATCTCTCAGAGGAGCCCAACAATAATACTTCTCTGAAATCATTAATAAGACTTAAATACTGTGTCAAAACAAAAACACCTTGTTTTAATAAACTGTACTTTAATTTATTTCCGGCCTCTTTGTCGCCATCGATATCGCATTCATAGAGCGGAACATCTTTTTGGCCAAAACGGCAAAGAGAGCCATGGATTTGAAATTGAAGTATAATTGACACAAAATACCTTTTGAATCACAATTTCAAATATAATGACAAATTTATATCCCATTGTTTGCTGTTTTATACCTAATATACTCAACACTGTTAGCGATATGAAATTTGGCACCAGGATCAAAATCTTGCTCACTTCTCTTACAGGGTGGTGAGACTCCCTGGTATTGTCCCCTTAATGTCCACCAATGCCTGTTTAGATTGTGTTGGGAGACGCGGCCAGAGAACACATCTGACCGCCACTTATCCATAATGTAAGCAAAGGGTAAGAGAACCACTTTCTCCAAAGCCATTTTCAACTGAGATTTAATATTAATTTTATATAAATCTAAAGAGTCGTCGATTTCCAAAAGTCCTATTTTATTGAGATGTTTAGGAGTAGAGACAGAGAGGGCTAATACATCGCCAATCGCTTCGTGAAACCCTAAATAAAGTGCAAGCAATTCGTTCAGAAAAATGATTGTTTTAAATGCAATAACGCTATAAGTAATGACCAGAACCTGGATTAGCGCCTTCACGAAAGACGATCGGCTGGTGTTTGTATTGCATGTAATACTCGATGTGTCCCATTTCGTGATGCATTTTTATAAAGCTCTCCATATCAACTCGAGTGCACTGTTTTATCCTAAGTTTTAAATAAATTATAGTAACAATTATTTAATGCAAATCAATGGCAAAACCTGAAGTCATCGGTGGTATAGAAATCCCAGGCCGACGCGTGACTGCAAAATAAGTTGTTAATTAACATTATTTTCAATTATTTACTTTTTCGTCCTTCAAACTCATTACGAGCTAAACTTTAATTATTAAAAGTTTGTTTAAGTTTATTGAAAATGTTATTTAATTTATGAAATTCTAAATAAAGTTATCATCGCTTCTCTATTCATATAATAGTCTGACGTTTCAGATGAAAAGATATGATCAATAAAAGCTTTTTATCAATAGTGCTATTTTTGTATATTTTTGTATTCTTTCGATTATATAAAATCTCTATAAATGCCTACACTTTTCTGACATCCTTTGTAAACGCAATTCAAATATTGTTAAACTGAAAATGCATTGTAAATCATAAGCAAATTGAATATCGATTACCAAACCATATCTGTTCCGTCTCTCGGCTTTTCAAACACCGAATTCTTCCAAAACCTATCAGTCATTTGATCCAAACCTAGATCTTTAATGAATTGATTTGAGAGCTCAAACATTTTTCTCGCGCTATAATTCTAGATAAATAATGAATTATTACAAAAAACGGTTTGATTGAGAAGTGTTTGAAGTGTTTAATAAAAATCTGCTTCACTTGTGTCTTGAGAGCATCGGACACATCGATTGTTTGGATTTGAGGGTAAGGATCAACGCCTTCCACTGTATTCATGGTATGACTCCATTGTTGAGCCCACATATTGCCCAACAGATGTGCCGGTAGAGTGTTGTCTGCGGGCATTTCGGTGGGCAATGCATCACTTAATCTGATCCGTATATATGCGTGAAGTTTCTGATAAAATGGCATTAATTGATGCAATAATTTGTACGTTTGTTTCATAAGATCAGGCGTTTCCCATTGAAATAGCCAGAGATCGTACAACGTTTCAAACTCTTTCATTTATTCATACAATAAATAATTAAATAAATTATAATATTATTGTTATAAAGCAAAGCGTAAATGAGATTTAATGCAAATTAAATCAAATGCCATTTACTTGTATTCGGGAGTTCATTAAGTAGTGCCGCTTTATTACCCAAACTATAGTATGAAATAAATTTATCTCTCATTTGTTTACCCGAAGCGTCTCTCCATTTAACCCACGCCTCTAATAGCTCTGAATGATTACCAGAAGTGGCCATTATTTGCGTTAAGTCTTTTCAGCGAGTTTTTAAATCATGAAATAAAATTTACATTTTTAAAAACTACTGTAATTTGAAAGCTATTAAGTTATGCATTGAATACCGGGTTCTAATTCAAGACCGCATTTGTCTCGAAGACATACTTTTGCTGTGCTATAAATGGTTTGCATTTCGTTCAAAACTTTCGAGTACTAAACGATAAATATTTTTTTTTGAAAATTATTTAATTAATAAAATTGTTGCGAAAGCTATTTATATGAACCGTTAAGCCGTCGTTGCCCTCTAAGACAGCGCTTCCAATTAGCGCTATCTTTTCAAACTGTCGCTGAATATTGTCCTCAAAGTCAGTCCAATCATATCTTTTTGCTTCAATTGATTGTTGTTTCTGAAAGCGATTGAACACTTCGGTTGCGTTGAGCTAAAGATAAACATATCATTCGCGATAAATTTAATTATTTTCATCAGATTTTTATATAATTTTCACTTTTTTCTACCCATTTATACATTAACTATAATTAAAAGTTTTTGTTGTTTGAATATTTCATGAGTTATATTCATATACGAGTAATATTTCTGTTTTTGATTACTGTATGAAATAAAATTGATTTTTGTTTTTGTGCACTCATTCCTTGGGTTAATTAATTAACGCAAAATACTTTCCTAAAAAAGTTAATTATTTATACATTTATACGATTCAATAAAATAAGATAAAACCAATAAACATATTAAACGATTAAATCTCAATTTTTTGCAAAAAAAAATGAAACAATTTAAACAAAAAAACATATAATTTAATGACAATTATAATCATTACAAGTATTTACTCCGAATACTATTGCATACAATGAATGAATGCATTGCTTACGAGTTGGTCTCTATTCTGTTGTGTTATATTTGTTGAGTAAATCCATTGAGTGGTCACAGAATAATAGCATTGTTTCGCAGCCAATGTATTGTATCGTTGAAGAAACTTTTGTACACAAGAAGAAAAAAACCAGATTAAATGTCTTGAAATTAGCGAACAAAAGCTATTCAATTCATTATATATTTTATATATTGTTCATTCAATAGTTTCAGTTCAATAGCTATATATAATATAAACTTTTTTTGAATAAATGAAAAATTTATTTTTCTATTAAATATTTGGCTCAAAATTATTTTTAAGTTTCTATATTTTTTGATTACCTTTTATCGCAGTGAATATATGTGAAAATATCGTTAAAATGTTTTGACAATAAAAATTTTTAGTTTATTTGACAAAATATTAAACATATTATATATCATTAAAAATATTCTTAAAGTTTTAACGATAAGAATCAATTCTCACTGTTTGTGCCATCACTTGATCGTTGATTTTCCCGTCGTTTGCGACATATTTCCCATACAATAGTTTAGAAATTTCTTTATTTAGTTTATAAGATTCTGAAATCAATGTATTGTAATGAAAAATAGTTGCAATGAAGACAACAATTTTTGCATTCATTTTAAAAATAAACATTTTCTTTAAATAATACCAAAACTCGACACTAATTGCATTACAGGTATAACTAAATCATAAATTCTTGAAAGCAAAAGATGTCTTTTGAATGATGTTTGCATTGGATTATAAAACTAATGGTTTGATTGGACGAATGAAGAGCTCTTAAGTTCAATTATAAGTGTAATTATGTAATCAATTCGTGTTGTTTCCCAGAGTTTCATAATATTTTTATAATATTCGGACGTAAATTAATATCAAATGTTTATTTAATACAAATTTTCGCCACATATTATAGTTTGTATAATAGTTTGCAATTAAATCTAAATTTCACACAAACGGTATCATTACATGAGATCAGAAAAAATTGATGTCTTTTTATTAGTAATATTATTTTTCTAATCAAATCAATTTTGTGGTGCCATTAAGACTAAATTTAATTATATTAAATATATTTTTGTTAATTAGCTAGGGAATTTTTATATTGACCAAATAAATTTTGTAATAAAATTTTCCACAAATACTGTATAATTTATTATACAATTGTATAAATAGTGTGTATTTTATTTTATTATAATTATAACTGGTTTTCAAAGTAATAATTATTTATTCTTTGAAATAGCATTTTGGTTTATTTATAAAATTAATTAAAAATTTTTAAATCCTTTTTCAATACAATAGAAAAGTATTAAATTAAAGTATAAATTAACCATAATTTTTGACATTGAATTTTTCGTATTGTGTGACAAAAGCTATTGTTATTTGGGAAAAATAAATTCCCAAACCATTCAATAGTCAAATGAATTGAATTTTTGAATGCATTTCTTAGATGTGGTAGAAATAGCAGAACTGAAGCAAAACTTTGTGTTTTTGTGCTATCATTTAAAATGCAAATTCTGTCCAAAAAGTTTTTATTTTAAAAAATTCTAAACCAAAATATGTCAGCAAAACGAGCAATATTTACAACAATAACGAAAGTTATCGACAGGAAATGATAGGTCTGTAGCACTCATACAAGTAAAACACAATTGTCATACGGATTCAAACGGTGTAAACCTGTATTCCTCCCTCCCGTCTCGTCCGGCTCTCACTCCCCGACATATAATTATCTTATTATTAATAGTAATGAATGTCAATGCAATACATTATATAATATAATTTATATTTTACACTTTTAATTTATTTAAATAACTAAATATCCATTAAAAGCGAGTTTTTTAAAACGAAAGTGCAGTCATTTCATAGCTATTATGTAATAATAATAATTTGTGAGTGAAATTAAATGCTAAATATAATAACAATTCACTACTTTGTGTCAAAATATACCCTTTTTCTCATATTTAAGTTTTAATTAGATTACAATTTATAAGAAATTAAAACTTATTTTCCCAAAATGTAAAGTTAGGTTACATTAAGTTAAGCGAACATCTGTTAGGCATCTGTTTGTGCCAAACATTGTGTGTTGGGTCTCATAGTGTGTGAGAAAAGTATCTTAAGTCTGAATGCGAGACATAGAGTGGTTGTGCCCAACAGGTAGGCAACAGTAGACGAGTATAAGACCGCCAGAAGCTGTGAATAGAGGCTTTGGTGCGGAACCCCTCCATTCCTTTCCCGTACACGTTATTATACAATAGCGTATAAAAACATAATACCTGTCCTCTAGTATACAGTATATACTCTCCAACTGTTACTGTCTTTTCATTCAATAGTCCGTCGACTGAAAACCATAAAAATATTAGTTTGAATGAAATAACGCAAAATGCTTATCGAAAATTAAATATTAAGTGCCCTAGGGCATATAGATATATACTGTGCATTGTATAATATTGCCGCATATCTGCACAGAATTTTATTAGTATTAAAATAGTTATAAAACTTTTCTCTCTATTTAGTAGTTGTGTTGTTAGAGTCAAAAAAGCTGTTGTTGTGTTGATTGTGTTGTGTTGAGTGAATATAAATATATAAATGCAAACAATAAGTTGCAAAATGCTATTCACTGTATGTTATATTTGTAAAATTATAGACAAGTTTGGGGGTAGTATTCAGTAGAGTAGAGTAGATTAGAGTATTGTACAGACATTGTTGACTAGAAATGCAAGTCAGTGACCATTAATTAGAAACTTGCGGCCAATCCTTGCAATGATCGCCAAAAGTCAAACTCGGAAGCGAAGCCATGCACTACTTGTGCGCCAATTGATGGCTGGTCTGTGGGTGGAGTGCCTTCTGCACGGGTAGTACACAAGACGTCAACACTAATATTTAGACTAATATTTAGACTAATGTTGCTTTTAATTTCACAATTTAATTTCTCAAATAAACGAGCTATATTATTTTTTATTTATTTTGTTGCAAATTTACACACATTATTCACATAAATTGCAGATTTCTTTTGAAAGTGATATTCTCTTTCGCTTAAGTATGGGTTATATTATCTTTAATCGTAAATTGTATTGAATTGTCTTTTTATATAAACTGTTTAACTAAATGGAGTAAAAATTTTTGGACTATTTCTCAGACCATTATTTTGTATAAAATTGTATAAAATCTAAGGTATTATTAGATGGAAATGAAACGATTTGAATGGAATTGTAAGTGAATTTTTGTGTTAATTCAAATCCATTAAGGGATACCGCCCTATGAACTGGTGATCTATTTGCCACCAAATTCACCATAATATTGATCGTCGAAATTAAAACAAGTGATATATTTGTTTTGTGTTAATTTAAATGGTAATAAAAACGAAATTTTAACGCAATTAATGAATTAAATGAAATGATTAGACAAATATGATTTGATCACTTTATGAGTGATGAGAGTTTGTATGACATCTATTCTGTCATGAAATGAGTGTAATTCTTGTGTCACTTATTTCTGTCTGTTGGCAGAGATTAGCCCAACATCTGAGACGTTGGACACCGAGAGGGACGTCCTTTGTATGCAATAGTGGTGAGTGTCGTGACTGGCAGGCGGTGCCGATCCGTGTATATTAGATCTGTTATATACAGT